GGGGGGGGGGGGTGATATCTTAAAGGGGTTAGTAAGACATTTTACAGGGTATAAATTAAAAAAATTGAATCCAAGAGGGCTCAAAATTTTTTATATCCTAGGGCGATTATGTATGCTAGTCCAAATATGACAAAATATCAAGTTGGATTGTTATACATCAAGTCGTTCATGTTTTATATCAAGTGCCGTGTGTTTACAATCAAGTCGCTGGTGTTTTATATCAACTATATCATGTGTTGTATAAATCAAGTTTGGCGTGTGTTTTATATCAAGTAGGGAGAGGATTGATTTTGATCAGTAAATGACACAAGGGGCGGTTATACATACTTTACCCTGAGTGAGCAGGGGGGGGGGGGGTAACATTGTGCACAAAATCTTTGAATCAAGAAAATTACTCTGAAATAATATTATTATTAAACAAGCATCTTATGTAAAGTTTTTGGGTGTATTTAATTGACCACGATTTTTCACGGAAGTGAAAGAAAAATTCAGTTCAGAAAAATATAATAAAATCTGCAGGTTTGATTGCAAAATTAAGACATTTTACTAACAAAAACAGTTTGAAATTGGTATACTATGCTTTAATCTGTGTTATAAAACGTCAGCATTAGCCTTAGGAACAATAACAATAGTAATGTACAATTTTATTTCTTAGTATTTTTTCATCTTTCAATTTGCTGTAAATAGTTTCTGCTTGTATATAATTTCTTCTTTCATAGTCCTTAATCATTAGAATACTAAACTAGAGGCCTTACTATAAAAGTCCAACAGGATTTCCAAAGGTTCCTAGCCCACTATACTACTGTAATTATTTTGTATTGCTTGTAAATATTCTGTGGGCAAATTAAAATTATTATTATTACTATTATTATTTTAGTTGCCATATTGGATTATTTCAGATCATCCTCTCCCCCCCTGACAAGATATTATTGTGCGCAACGTTAACACTCCCCCCCCCCGCTCACTCAGGGTAAAGTATGTATAACCCCCCAGGTGTCATGAACTGATCAAAATCAATTCTCTCCCTACTTGATATAAAACACACGCCAAACTTGATTTATATAACACATGTTATACTTGATATAAAACATGAGCGACTTGATTGTAAACACACGGCACTTGACATAAAACACAAACGCCTTGATTGTAAACACACGGCACTTGATATAAAACACGAACAACTTGATGTATAACAATCCAACTTGATATTTTGTCATATTTGGACTAGCATAATTATGAAGGGGCCTATAATAAATATATTAAAGGCTCACAGTCCATACCTTCATGAATTCAAATTCTGTTCCAGTTGGTAACACTTTACGAAACCTCTTCCTTCAAAGTCACTGCCGACCATGATTTATTGAATGGGAATTCGTGGATGACAAAATTTTGTTCTTCCAGTTCCAATCGCTTCTTATGCGTTGGGACAGCGGTTTCTTCTGGATCAGGAATAAATACGAGGTCTTTGAAAACAACATCGTTACCTTTTCTTCCTCTTTTAGGCTGTGGGCTGTTGGCCAAAATTATTTCGCTTTGTGGCACCCATGTGGGAAATACTTGGTTTGGGGTTTATTTGAAAGTCATATAGGCACATCACTACTAAAAAAGTTCCCAAACCCCAAGAAAATGGGTGATCAATGATTATCCTCTATTAAATTGTATTACAGCAAAAAAATGGGAAATTCTGTATTCAATTACAATAAAAATGACTTCCATCATCGGAAAACGTACAAAAAACGCATATAAGACTTTTAAACAGTTTCTTGATTTTTCAAATAGTCTTTGAGTTATTGCTGTTTTAACTGTGAAAATTGGACCAAAATGTCGCAATACGGACTGGGCACTAGGTCAAAAACGCGTTTTTGACAGCGTATAACTCGAAAACAATTTTAGATATAAAAAACTGTTTAAATGTCTTATATGTAGGTTTTTGTAAGCTTTCTTATAATGCAGGTCATTTTCGTTGTAATTGAATACAAAATTTTACATTTTCTTGCTGTAATAGAATTTAATAGAGGATAATCACCGATCACCCATTTTCTCGGTGTTGGGCAAGTTTTTTGCTTGGGAACTTTTTGTGGTAATTAAGCATGTATGGTTCTGTGAATTGAACCACAGAAAATCTATTTCCCAGGAGGGTGCCACGAAATTGCTTTTCTAGGCACTTTTTTGCACAACAGTCCACGGCCTATTTGTGCTTTTTTGTTGTTGTTTCGAAGTGAGCTTAATGATCATGTTGATGCAGTCTATCTTCGTTTTCTAGACCTGCTAGCGCTAACTGTTGGAAAGCGGTCTGCGAGCTCATTTTCCAAGTTTATGTCATTTGATCCACTGGCGCTGGCACCACCGAAAACGTTAGATAGTCTGTTCGGAAGCGAACTGGGCACTAGACGGTTAGTATTCCCTTCAATGCGATTGAGAATACCCACTGGATTCACATTGCCTAAAACTTGCAAAGCCTCGGCTGCAGTACAACAAGCGTTAGTTAGCTCTTTCCTCGACATTTTGTTTGTCAGAAATTAGGAAATAAAATGGCAGGCAATTCTCAAAATTTTATTATGACGTTTTGCATATTTAATTAGGACATATTTGAATTTATAATCAGGAGATATTTAAAAATATTTAATTAGGACATATTTGAATTTATAATTAGGACATATTTGAATTTAAAATTAGGACATATTTGAATTTATAATTGGGACATATTTCAATATTTATTTAACATATATTTCAGTATTGAACTGGACGTATGAATTAAATATGAGACATATTTAAAATATTAGCATGGATATTCAAAATATTAGCATGAATATATAAAATATTAGAATATATTTATAAAAATATGTAATAAAGACTAAATCGGCACGTCATATACAAAAATGTGTCCAAATATTGTACAGGAATGCTTACCTTTATAATCTTTATAATCTAAAAATTTATCCTAATATAATTAGATCCCATCCTTTTGGTTACATGTGCAATGTAGTCAAATTTTGGTATGTAGACAGTGTAGACAGTAGAAGAAAGATCCATCATGGTTAGGCAGCAACTGGCGATGCGTTGATGAAATATTTTTGCCCAGAATAATCTGAAATCGGCATGGAAGCGTGTAGTTGATGAGAAACGCAATTCTCATTCGTAGAGAGGAAAATCCATTTTGCTCCCAACCCTTGTCAAGAGTTTTCTTTCTTTAGAATTGATAGTGGGCAATGGCATTCCTTGCAGACTGCTGAGTTATCAACTATTTCTTGTAGCCGTTCTGGTTCAACAAAGTAATGTCCAACAGTTAGTTGAAAGCCATCATACTCACAGGCATCATTGTCAGAGTTGCATGATTCCAAGTTCGACAACGATTCAGAACCCGATTCTCTAGCTTCTCTTTTGTTCAAGCTTTTCATACTTTCGTTTAATTTTGCTTCACTGTGACGAGAGCAACTTCCAGCAATGTCAGGGTTCCCCTTGTCTTGAAAAAACTCAGGCCACTGTGCATCTTCTTGGAAATACGAACTGAGGTCACTTTCTGCCAGTGATTTCTTTCTCTCCTCTGTGAACAAATTGTCAGTCTAGGGTTTCCATTTTTTTTTTCTGACAGCTGCAAAAAGGGCTTTTATTGCTTTTGCCAGAATCCTCTTTTTTTTATTTGCTGCATTTTTTCAGCAAAGAGTTGCAAGAAAATGTGCGTCTAGATACTGATTTTGATGATAAAGATATTGATTTACTAAAAATTTGAAATATATATGATATATGATTCCTATACGGATGAAACAGACTGTTGTGGTTTTTTTGAGGTAACTATATTACGCTCTATCTATATGATATTGAGCACTGTTTGTGTTTCGTAAACCATATATATATATATATCTTAAATCCGTCTGATCGTGTAGCTCAGTTGGTAGAGCGTCGATCTAGTAATTCGAAGGTCGCAGGTTCAAGACCCAGCCGCGGCAGACTTTATCTTTCTGCTTACGCTGGGTATGGAAATTATATAATACACACTCATCACCTTAACACATTGTATATATATATATATATATATATATATATATATATATATATATATATTCACAATTCAAATTGCAATGTTTTAATTTAATAAGTATTCAATTATTGATATATTTATGTATCGATCAATTCGAAACTTCGCCATCCCCCCCCGGGCCGACCCCGGGAATTTGAACTTTTTGAAATTTGACTGATCAAATTCTCCACCCTCTGTGCAAAAAATGTCTTCAAATGCCCCACTGTAACAAGAAATTAAGCGTTCAAATGCCCCACCTTCATATGAAAATTATGAAACAGTAAATACAAAAAGTACAAAATATACGGAAAAGTTTTCGACAAGATAGCGAAATTCGCGTAAACAGTTTGGATACCTTGTGGAAATTTAACAGTTTTACACGTTATGTAGTACATACCTTCAAATGAAACACATAGATTTTCCATGCCCGTTTCTTTGAGCCAGTTTTTTCACAAAATTGAGGCCGTTTCCCTCGAAATCTGAGAAAACTGTATTTGCCGCCATTACGAAGTATTTTCTGTGCATGCAGGAAGCACGCGAAAACGGGCAACATTTTAAGACTTCCGGTTCAAATTCCCCACCCCGTTATCAAATGCCCCACCACATGGAAGACTTAAAACGTCAAATTCCCTACTCCCTGGAGAAGACTTGAAGTCAAATTCCCGGGGTATGCCCGGGGGGGGGGGGGATGGTGAAGTTTCGAATTGATCGATACATTAGTAAGTGATTTTAGTATTCATGCCGGAAAGCCTAATGCCTACAAATAATTATGAGTGTGTAGGTGCCTATGCAAATTTTCCAGCACATACACACTCACATGTTTATCTGCAGGTGTCTTCTTTTTTACCCAGTAGTGAAGCTAGCCATAGCAACTGATCATGCTATGCAAATTTTTAATGATTTGTATTAAAATTTTAGAAATCTTTTCTCTTATTAGCATAGCGTGTATATATTGCATTGTCTGTATGCATTAGCATAGCATGACCAGTTGCCATGGCCAGCTTTGTGAAAGAAAACTATTGTGTTTGTAAAGACAAACTCTACCTCATATAAAAATCAGAACTAAGGGTAATATATAGTAGAATATTAATTGCTCAAGTCTCATCAGTACTTGACCATATAAAACTTCTAGCATCTTTATTATTCCGAAATATATTCCCAATTGCTCAGTATAAATGCCAACATAATTTGGAGCATAATTTCCTGCATCAAGCAGTGAGCATTCTGCCAGCCAAAAATTGAGTTACAAGCAGAATTTTGAGAAACGTTTGTGCAAAATCAAGATACACAATGCTTAACAAAAAAGATTTTTATAATCAAAGCCGGAGTTAATTTTAAGCATACATTATCATTCTGTAGAGCATTATTGCTGGCAGGCTAAATTTGCTATTTAATATAAAGCATTATTTATCCAAGTCTAACCAACAACTTGTCAACAACGGTGTTTGCACCAAGGTTGTAGCAAGGCAAGCTTGTCACTCACAACTTGTTAACAAATTGCTGAATTGCAAGACAATAACAAGTTCCTGAAACAAGCTTGTAGCCAGGGACGTACGCAGCGACCAGAGAACGTTCCGATCTGTGACCGCCCCCCTGTGAAACCCTGATCAGGTAAAAATAATGATCAGGTAAAATTCATGTTACAATTTTGACATTTTCAGGTAAAATTTGCATACTAAAATAATTATTTTTGTGAACTGATAACTGTTTTTGTAAAATACCGTCAATTTACATCCAATTTGTTTTCGAATTTGCTTTAGAAAATGCCAGAAATGCAGTCCTAGAGTTTCAAAAATGTAACATTTTTCAAAAATGTAAAAATCTACAAGCTTTTATAATTATTACGCTTCAGGTAACTTTTTTAACATTGAAATTCAAATTTCAGGAAATCCTCCGACACCCCCCCCCCCCCCAACTTCAGATGCTTCACTACGTTCCAGCTTGTAGTAAGTCGGCAATCTGGTTATAAGTCTGCCGCAGGCTTGTAACAACTTATGTGTTCTTACATATGTAATAAACCTTATGCATGATGACATCAGAAGCCTTGATGCCCGCGAGGAATGCTGGTCTTAGTAGTCATTGCCCAGGAAAATTAAACAATTCAAAATGGCCACACTATTGAAATTTTCCCAAGCAATGACTATTAAGACATTCTAAGACTACAAAGAGCATTCCTCACAGGCATCAAGCCTTGATGTCAGTGTACATAAAGTCTATTCACTACCACATTCTAATTTAGTTGAAAATATTCTTCCAGTGTAGTAGGGTCAACTCCAAAATAAGAACTTGTAGTTGAGCCATAAAGACAATGCATTTCTCAAAAGGGCACACACAGAATACATCTTCCCAACAGCACTCCGCTTATTCCCTGCCCTATATAAAGAGTAAAGATTGGAGAAACTATCTAAGACTAGTTAATTGTGTAACAACGAGCCAAACTGTTCGACCAATTGCACGTGTTGACATTACTAAGTCTCTCCAAGATGCAAATAGCGAAGGTCAAGGGAATTCATTTATAAATCAACCTGGCACTGGTGATGACAGCATACGTCCTTGTGACCCTACCCATGACCATAACTAACATTATCCCATCCCAACACACATCACTCTACGTACCTCAACAAATCGGTGGAGAAGAAAGTCTAGCAAATCCTTAAAAAGCAAACAGGCTAACAGAGACAAGTTTTTTCGATCGCGTCCCACATATCACCAAACCGATTGGCTGAAAGACAAACACGAGCGGAAGAACTGGTACAGCTATTACTACTAGAAGAATATGCACCACTGAGTAACGCACGTAAATCCAATTTAATTAATATTCCTTTGGAAAAGAACAACGAGAAATCAAAAAATGGGAAACTTCTCCCGAATGTAATGCTTTTAAATGCAAGACCATTTATTAATAAAACATATGAATTGGAATTATTGGTTATTACTAATGATATAGACACAGCTTGCATCACTGAGACTTGGTTAAAGGAAACTGTTCCTAAAGGAAACTGTTCCTAAAGGAAACTGTTCCTAGTAAAGGCTGGAAACATAGTAAAGGTAAAAGTGAGAGATCTCAACCATACAAGTACGGAACAGTTTGGGGTTTTTCTAGAGAACTATGACTGGAGTGAACTTTTCTCTAACAAAGGATCTGATGAGAAAGTTGATGCTTTTCTTCATTTTACTAAAGTGATTATCAACGAGTTTTTCCCCGAAAGAATAATAAAAAAGCATACCAACGATAAACCCTTTATGATGCAAAAAATTAAATCTCTGATGGATAAAAGAAATAAAGCTTTTAAAAACAATAGAGCTCTTCATTCAAATCTTTACGTAGACAAGTTTCAGCCGAGATAAAGAAAGCCAAGCTGCAGTTTTATGATAAAAAGGTACGAGCAAACCATAGTTCATGCCCAAAAGCATGGTGGAAGGAAGTTAAAAGATTAATTGGATCAAGGAAAAACGCTGTGACTTTAGTAAACTCCGAGACAAATCTCCAAATGAACGATAAACAATCGGCAGATTCAATTAATAACTTCTTTGCTAATTTAATGACGTTTTAAGGTTTACTGAAGAAGATATGATGGAGTTAAATCAAACTAAATGTAAAGAAATGATAATTGACTTTCGGAAAAATGTAACTGTTATTCTACTGCTAGAAATCAATAGTCATGTATTTGAAAGGGTTAAATGTTACAAATTATTGATTTATGGATTGATGACAATTTGAAGTGGTCAACTAACACATGCTATATTGTTAAAAAAGCGGTAAAAAGACTGTATTTTCTGAAGATGTTAAGAGGTTATAATGCACCAAAGCAGGATTTAAAAGCCTTTTATATAGCTGTCATAAGTTCAACACTTGAATATTGTGCTTAAATTTGGCACAGAAACTTAACCCATTAAGCGCCAGCGCTCTCCCCTTGATGAGTAAAACCGCCTGGCGTTAGACAGTGTAAAATACTAAAGTAGGGTGCATCAGGGTGCAATGCAACTCAATGGGTTAACCAAGGAACAGTCTACTGACATAGAACGAGTTCAGAAGCGTGCGCTTAGGATTATTTGTCCTGGACTGACTTATGAAGAAGCATTACTGGACTGTAACCTTAAAACATTAAAGGCTCGCAGAGAAGAGATGTGCGGAAACCTTATAAAAATAATGATAGACCCTAGACATAGATTACACGGTTTATTTCCAGAAACAGTTAATCAGATAAGACAGAGGCAAACTAGGTCAAATGGAGAAAAACTGTATAATTTTGGATATCGAACTGAATGATTTAAAAATAGCCCAATTGTGTATGGGATTGAATGTTTTAACCGAACGCTGGAGTCGAAGTAAATTTATCGAATTCTTTCAAAATTTTTATTTAAGATTACTTGTAAATATTGACTCTTAACATTAGCCTTAGTTAATTTTTTATACAGTTTAAATGTAATTCACAGTGTAAATTAGTATTTAGTATTTACTATTTAATGTGAAATTCTAGAAAGATTAAAGATTAACCCATTGAGTCGCATTGCACCCTGATGCACCCTACTTTAGTATTTTACTCTGTCTAACGCCAGAGTATTTTACTCTGTCTAACGCCAGACAATTTTACTCGTCAAGGGGAGAGCGCTGGCGCTTAATGGGTTAAAGATTAATCCAATTTTCAAATTCTTCTTAAAATCCATAAACTTGAAATAATTAATGTCACTAAAAACCCATTCAACACTAACCTGAACAAAACTTGTAGACCGGTTGAACTCAAGTTGCCTTTCATCAAGATTAGGATGCTGGTATTGGCTTCTGGAGATGTCTTCTTAATGGGTAAGCAGGGTCTCCGGAGGGTCACCAAGGGGAGGTATTACAATGTTGATCCAGTTGGTCAAGAAGGCCGTACATTCTTAACATCCCAGCATCATGTCGTTTTCCTTCTAAAATTAAAAGCACATATTATATAAAGTACAAGTACTACTAGAAGTTACTATCGCAAGGAAAATGCTGCCTCACACCCGAGGGATCAAAGGCAAGGGAGCATACGCAATTTGCTAAATAAGGGCTGTTTATACGGATCCCGCTTAAACCACTTTGTCAGGACGAGATATAAGGCGCAATGGTTTTGTGAAAAACTTTATTTTCTAGAGATGGATTATAGTTAACTGTAATCGAAAGGTTGTTCAAAAAGCTATAAAAATCTTGAACTACATGATCTTCTCTACAACATTTGAGTTCGGTTATAGTCAGCATTTGAACTTTCGTTTAGCCTAGTGACTTATTTCAATACAACAAAATCATCCCAACTTCCATCATGTAAACAGCCCAGAGTATGCCCGTCCACAGGTTAGGTGCTGGGCATGACCTAACTTGTGAACGGGCAAACTCTGAGTACAAGATTGCTAATACGCCTGTTCAGGATGCAGGAAAAGACTGAAAAATGCAATTTGAATATCAAACACCTTGCACAAAGTCGAAGGTCAGCTAAATATTCTAATTCTACTTTCTTGGCATGGGTTTTTTTTATGAATGCCTTAAATGCTTATAACTTCTTGCTTTTGTATGTATAATTATACTGTTAATGGTGAAGCTAGCCATTATTAAACTAAACTCTACATGTCCAATGATTCATTCAAGTATTATCAATGTTGATATATATGGCAATATGACATTGTCAGTATTCAGTGGCAAGCTAGCCATGGCAACTGGTCATGCTATGCTACTGAAACCTGCAAATCATTAAAAACTTCCATAACATGACTTGTTGCTACAATTTCATATACCTTACTTGTGTTAAAATTTGCGCAGTACTAGAATTCACGCAGCGCTGGGTTGCGCGAATTTTAGTAATGTGCGAAATATAATCCGCGCGAAAAGCTTTGTGATGTAATATGAGACACTGGTTGTTAGTAATGCAAATCAGTTGATTTATTTAACGCACATCTACACATTTAACATATCATATGTTTTAAGTTGTCCTGTCAATATTAAAAATAAAAAATGTCTTCCTCCCGGACAATTTCAGTCGGGATATTCTCAGGTTCCATGTAGCATTCCGTTATGAATGCCTGCATTTTGCCACAGATCCTCAAACATTGTTGTCAAAGGTGGCAACGATCATGTGTGAGCGCCGCATTGAAAGAGCCACAATGAAAAGAGGATCCATTTGAACTCTACCTAAATATATTTGTGTGTTTTGAGATATATTTGTGCGTTTGAAACATATTTGTGTGTTGCACTTGTGGATCACCGTAGTTTTATGCCATTTATGAACCTATAATTAATATATGGGAATGCTAATAAAAGATTAGTGCTATTGTATTAGGCAAATGGGAACCATACAATAAATGTTTTAGTTCTATTACATAATTTTGAAACCATTCTTGAGGCCACCTAATCGCTTTTTGATTAAGTTTTGATAAAAAATACTCGTTACAAATACGTTAATTGATAGTTCTATTGAGCAAACCAAAAAGAACGAACACAGAAAATTTCTTGCCCGAATTTAAAGAACAAGGTGCGCGAAATTAAATCGTGCATGAATACGACGCGATTATTGTTTTAATGGTACCTTCAAGGCTACCCCTATTGCAGAACAACCGAACAATCTGCTGATGAGAAGACACTGATCTATGTTGACATTTTTGTCAGCTTCAGATGACCATTCATTTGTAATGATTAAGATTGTAGAAAGAAATTCTGAGCAAGTGAATACATGAATGTAAGCCGGTATATTACATATAATGCTAACCAATGGACATATCTCAGATACTAAATGTACAATAAAATAACATTTTGACTCCTTGTATAAATATAAAGACGATCATTGGGCTATTAGAACTGCATATTCATAAAATCATATTGGTTTCAATACCTCTATATCGAACACTAAATAGCAAATCTAAATAAATGCCTTCATGTACAGTATCACCAGAAAGAAATAAAGCTATCCGCCATGAATTATTCAAGATATTGTCGATCCTTTGCATCGTATTAAACTGTATTAAATCCTGAGAAGAATCATGCGAGCTGAATACAAAATAAAATCGAATCAAAATAGAATAAAAACAAAGAGTCGTCGAATGCTGGAGCTGATGACAATTTCCGAAAAATCTTGGCATCCGACGGACTGACATGGATTGAGTATGTTTCCCCAATATAACTCGGCCGGGGACTGGGCACAAAAAAGCAAGAACGTCATGTAACGTCAAGAATAGGGAGCTGCCTCGCTACGCTCGGCAGCAATAAAATATATAAGTATATGCAAAAATTATTAAATACATACACTATAAGACTATACTGTATGGTTAGACACTGTAGGAAATAAGTAATGCATTACACTATATTATTTAATATAAAATGTACCTATTGGACCATAAGAAGATTTGCAATAAGGCCATTAGGTGCCACAGCAGATTGAAACTTGATGGCATGGATACGTTTATGGCCATTATACATGATGTACTGGTTTTCTCCAGGGCAACAGATAGGTCTTACTGTGCCATCAACAAATCCCCAGCAGTTCTCCAAAGTGCCACCAGCTTCGTCTTGAAGATGAAGCATAGTCTTGAAGACAATCAGGATAAAGCCAAGGTTGGTTTAAATGGGTCAAAAGATAACCATGTGTATTGTATATATGGTCAGTCACCCCTGAAGCGATCAAACTCAACTCTGAAACAGAGCAACCAAAATGAGGTATCATGTCACTGAACCTGCAGGGATAAGCAAAACGCCTAAGAGCAACACAAAGACCTTCCATCCCTGTTGCCACCGTTTGGTTGGGGCAAAATAACTTCTCTGGGATCCTCAAAGCTTCTGCCAAGATAGGCAGATCTGCTAAGTCCACTCTGAAGTGCGATCTGCATTCATTGTTGGTCATGTATTGCAACTGCATCTCGACTTTTTGGTACTCCCAGTACTGAAATTCCTGTGATTTTCTTTTTGTATTGTCGTATAAAGCTACAAACTCAGACTCATCAACAATATCATGGACAAATAGAGCCGTAGCTGCATCAAAAAGTGAGTTATTGCTGACAGCCATAATAAACTTGTACTCGTTGTCGCAATTCGTTGTTTGTTTAATAATACTGCTAAAGCAACATTTGAACTGAAACGCCTACGAGCACGACTTCCTTGTGCCAGGCCGCTAGCGGTCAGATTTCGTAGTCGTGTTTGTATCATTGTATGCCGTTTAGAAAGAAAATAACCAACAAAATAACTTGCGAGACTAAAGAGAATCTCTTCACTCGTCAGAGCTCTAATATTTAAACAAGAAAGATACTCGGCAACATGTTATTGCCAATCACTTGACTTGCCAGCAAGCTTTATGAAATAGAAGAAAAAGGCAAGGAGGTATCCAACGTGTACCATCATGGACCTTGTTCACATGTCTAGCACAACGGTGCAAACTCGTGTTAAATGCAATATTCAATGCAACGAGAACTCTACTTGATCCAGATTTATATTTGTTCCAATTAGTATTTTACTCTGTCTAACGCCAGAGTATTTTATTCTGTCTAACGCCAGACGATTTTACTCGTCAAGGGGAGAGCGCTGGCGCTTAATGGGTTAAAGATTAATCCAATTTTCAATTTTTTCTTAAAATCCATAAACTTGAAAGAATTAATGTCACTAAAAACCCATTCAACACTAACCCGAACGAAACTTGTAGACCGGTTGAACTCAAGTTGCCTTTCATCAAGATTAGGACGCTGGTATTGGCTTCTGGTATTGGCTTCTGGAGATGTCTTCTTAATGGGTAAGCAGGGTCTCCGGAGGGTTACCAAGGGGGGTATTACAATGTTGATCCAGTTGGTCAAGAAGGCCGTACATTCTTAACATCCCAGCATCATGTCGTTTTCCTTCTAAAATTAAAAGCACATATTATATAAAGTACAAGTACTATAAAATATATAAGTATATGCAAAAATTATTAAATACATACACTATAAGACTATACTGTATGGTTAGACACTGTAGGAAATAAGTAATGCATTACACTATATTATTTAATATAAAATGTACCTATTGGACCATAAAAAGATTTGCAATAAGGCCATTAGGTGCCACAGCAGATTGAAACTTGATGGCATGGATACGTTTATGGCCATTACACATGATGTACTGGTTTTCTCCAGGGCAACAGATAGGTCTATGGTGGCCCAGGCGTGCATAGAAAATTTTGATATCTTTTTATTTTTTTAAATATATATTTTTAAATTTTTTTTTTTTTCCAAACAAAATTTATTTCTAAACTTTGTTTTTTTTTTAATTCATAAAATATTTTAATGCAAAATATTTATACCCTTGGCCCAGGTGTGCCATATGAAAGTATAAATGAAACAGTATGGGCGATTTTCGTAAATACATCAACAACACTGGTGAAATTATTGTTTCTGATGGTAGTGATTTGGCATTAAAGTCTGAAATGTTCTCTCATTATACCTATATCAAGTCAGGGAAGCGACTTATGGTACTCGATATTCAAGGAGCTGGCTATTCACTCTGTGATCCTGAGATTGCAAGTGCAGAGTTTACTGACACTGATGACAACATTTTCTTCTGCAATGGCAACCTGTCACATGATGCGATTTATTCCTTTGTGTCACAACATGTGTGCAATCAATTCTGCAAACTCCTTCATTTACATGAAAAGTGAGGTGAACATTTGCCTCGTAACTATGAACCAATTCTGCAAACTCCTTTTACATGAAAAGTGAGGTGAACATTTGTCTCATGACTATGAACTGTTATTTAACATTGGTTTTTTTTTGTCTGCAAAGGTATACAATGCTCACTGTTCACGTTTTTGAATTGTGTTATTCCAATTAATATCTGCACCAACAGCCCCACCCGTTTGAGGACGTGTTGGAATTTCCACATGTTTCTTTCCATGTAATTTCCCAACATTTTTTTATGAACTTCTAACCTATCCCATAAAAATACCTTGATATTTTCTGACATAGCTGGTGGAATTCCTATATGTTTTCTTTGATAACTTTGAAAATTGGGTGTGTGGATATTAATTGGAATTGACCATTGTTGTGTTTATTGTTCAAAAAAGGCTAATACTTTTGTGGTAATATATGCCAACTTTTATACAAACAGGAGTACAAATCTCATATTATTAATGGAATAGATTTAATTAAAGAAAAAACTGTTTGAATGTACATATAGGATGTTGGTCTTTGGGTAAAGTCATCATTGGACAAGCAACACAATTCACTGGCAGAATTGTTACAAAACTCTTGCTAAATCAATATTTGCTTTCAAATACAGGTATGCATTAACTGCTTCTGCCGGTGCTATAGCATCAACATTGGGAATGTGACGCTCGCATTCATGCCGGAAATTCTCAGTGAGAAAGTCATCGGCTTCTTCTAAAACATTTGAAAGCTCTGCAACTTGTTCAAGTTGTTCCTCTGTAACAAGTAGACCATGCTTCTGGCCACCATATTTCTCCGGGAAACTGTATATGTGTTCCGGAACACCCACCGGTAGTTCTTTGTCCCTTTGATACCGACTTCGGTGGTTATTCCAAATTGATGTTCAAAATATATCCAATTCTTTTTGTAGCACAGGTATATAAACGAAAGCCAGCATATTCCTAATGACAGAATACATATTTTAGTTTGCTTAGGAAGTGGTCATTATTTATAGGGGAAAATAAGGATTGAAACTTTTTTTACCCCCTACCGCCTGCTTCCAGACTGAAGACAAACTTTTGTGCCCCCCCCCCCCTCATAAAAGTAGAAACTTTTCTGACAGTGTGAATTAAAAAATTAACAGCAATGAAACAGGTAGACGTTGCAGGTAAAGTTAGATATTAGGACAATCTGTTTAATCCAGCTCATGTTTTACCCAGGTGAATATGACAACCTCGCAAGCAAGGGCCTTGCTTGCGAGGTTGGTCCTTGCTTGCGAGGTTGGTGAATATGATTCAACCATATAGGATTTATTTACTTTGCAATGCAACATTTGTCATACTCTATTTGTCTACCATAACCCTAACTCATGGCCCGTTTTCATAGAGCAAAATGATTTGAACATAGGGCTTTTTTTTAAGAACTTGTCTAGGGGGGGGGCATCTACAAAAAGGACCACACTATACTGAGTGTGGAGAAATGACAGGTGGTTATTGGTGACAAAAAGTTTGGTGTGGTATTGTATGTACTAGTAGGGGGGTCTGGGGGTATTCATCCCCCAGAAAATCTTTTGTTTTGTATTTTTCCACCCCTAGGACTGAAATTTGAGCATTTTCTGGAACAGATTTTTGGATATACAGCATTACAATGTGCTTTGATAGACCGATTCTCATTAGTTAAGTACTTGCATGGTATGTTTATGTAATTACCACAACTGGGTCACTCAAAGGGTAGGAAGCTTGTTAAACTTAGTGGGCCTGACTCCCATGACCTACCATGGTTGGTGCAGAGCAAGGAAATTTTGAAAATTTCGAGTCTCTAGATCGTTGGAAATGGCATTTTCAGAGTCTTGTTCACCTCTTTGGCATTATGATTTGTGAGTCTATGCTATTTGTGATTATATAAATTAGAACTCTAGACATGGTATTTAAGTTCAAAAACTTTTTTGACCCCCCCCCCCCCTTAGTCCAACCACCTGTTGGACTTGGTCTCAGATATGAAGATGCCACATCAGGGGCAGGTGAAATTTTTGTTTGCCCAGCTAGGTCAATGTCACTTGGAGAAGCATTGAATGAACATTAAATGTACCCCAGGTAGGTACAATGGGCAGGTACAATTAATTTTTAGTTATACTTCAATAATCACAGGCCAGGGACAAAAATAGGCAGTGTTCATCGCTAGTAGTTTTAGGATTTGCAAATTTACAATATAACGAGTAGGACTACATGGGCAATATTGATTTCAATAATGTATTAGAATATGATGATTAAATTGGTATGGATGTTGCTATCAATTGCGCAGCTTACCTGTGACTTGCATCATCACGGTCATATTGTCCATCTTCTATAAGACCATTCAGTTGCTGTTTGAAATATCTCTCCATTCTTTCCAATAGCTCCCTCCACCATCTTTCTATTTTGTTTTGTGTGGAAGGACCATACATTACACTATCTGTAGCATCTTCCAGATCTCCATGCTCACTTCTGAGGTAAGAATGCATTGTTGCTAAAATGGTGGTCTCTGTGCCCTTATCAACTCTGATCCGACATGGCAAAACTAAGTAATTAAGTAAGTTAACATATAAGATAAGCGATTTTACTGTCAGTGACTCAGTGGGGCTGGTTGTTTAATTAAAGTAGTTTTAAATTAACCCACTGTTTTGGTTTATGTAAAAATTCTGTGCATCACTTTAAAAATTAAAATATCATTTTCTGCTCGCTGAGGTAGAAACAAAACAGAAAATGTTTTTTACACTGCTAGGTCAAGCAGATTTTGTTGTTGCATATTTCATTGCTTGATTTTATGGTGGATTTTGTGGGGAAAATATTTTCAATGATTATAAAAATGCAGTTGATAAATTTTCTTTGAATTTTACATTCACAGGATAAAGCAGTGTTAAGCCAATCAGCTTTCCTACAATCAGCACCACAAGTATTAAAAATCAATTAATTTGGGCTGCTTACCTTTGCTGGTAATCAAGTATTCTAAGTAAAAACGACCAATAATTCTTGGGTCACTATTAGTGGTCCAAATTCTTAAAAACATTATTTTACCACTGTAAGTATCTTGACCACCGTATATGCACAGATCGAATGTGGAGTTCTGATATCCACACATCTTGTCGTGACCATCAA